GGGGGGGAGGAAGGACGGACATCACCCAGACTGCAAAGCCACACCATCTACTCTGAAATATTCAGATCCAAAGCAGCCCTGGCCACTACGGCCAGGAGTCCCCACATCCTCCACCTGCCAATGCTTTCTCCTGCCCACAGCCCTGCCCACCTGATGGGCTCTGCTGTCCCAAAACCTAAACAATGGGAACCACAGGACTGGGGTGTGAAATGCCAACAGGCCCTGCCTTCATCTGGAGCAGGTAATCTTATGATGCTAGTCAGAGAAAGGAGCACTGCTAGTTTTTCCCTTTTGGAGATTGCATTTTTGTTTCATTTCAATTTTGGTTAAGCTGAAATTTTTAGGCCTCTTAAACAAAGGCTCTTGATACATTCCCATCATTTCTGACTCACAAGTAGGAATCCCAGTTAAAGTCTTTCAGGTCAGGCTGACTGATCTGTAAAGACAGGCACCTTGGTTTTGACAGGGGTCTTCTCTGAAGGAGAGGGACTGTAAACACATTTTACTCACTTTGAACTTACAATTCTGTAATGACTATGTACAGCTCTGTGATAAGAAACCATTTGGGGAAAAGGTCAGTGAAATAAAACAACATTTACAGAAATTATTTTCAAACTCTTAACTGCTAATATAAAGTTAGTCTTCGCTCCTATTAGGGTGAAACCTGTTTTCTAAGTGGAAGACTCCAGCACACCCCTAGCCCAGCCAGTGAGCTGGCTTGCTGTACACTTGCGACACATTAATCACAGTGTACTGATAAGCATGAATAACTTCAAACCACTACAAACCTTGGGAAATAACACATAAAGGCTAACAACATTCAATGTCAAAAACATTTAGTAATAAAAATATCCTGCATATCTATCTTCCATTCATTCGCAGAAAAGTACAATTTTATTAATGCATATGCCCCATCTGAAAACAAAGCAGTTTGCAAGAAGACACCATAAAAGCACCTGTAGGAGCAACTTTCCTCTGCACCTCACTGTCTCTAGGCATTACCAACCTGACCAGACTGTTCGGAAGCCCACACCCTACACAGAAGCTGTGTCACTTCCTCAAAGTTCCAGGAAGTGTTCACGTGGGTCTAAAAGGAGCCAGGTTCACCTGGAAAAGGACTGCTTTCTTGTCACTCACAGGCTCCAGTGTAAAACTCATCCACTCACTTACCTTATATTTGCAGGCAAAGAGCCTTTTTTTGTTTTTTGGCAGTACCAAAAGACTGGACTCTGGGCCCTCACATGCTAGGCAAGCACTCAACAACTGAGCTACAGCATCAATCCCCCCCCTTTTTTTTTAAATATATTTATTTTATTTGTTTATTTTTTTAACGAGGTGCTGAGGATCAACCCAGGGCCTCACACGTGCTAGGCAAGCGCTCTGCCACTGAGCCACAACTCCAGCCCACCCAAATGCTTTTCTTAAATGTTATTCTATTTTGAGATAAGATCTCACTAAGTTGCCCAGGCTGGCCTTGAACTCATGATCCTACTACCTCAGCATCCTGAGTAGCTGGCATTACAGGGGTGGCCATCAGGCCCACTGGCAAAGAGCATTTTTCAAGATAAGGGAACAAACAGAGCAAGTCAGTAACAACAAGAACAGGTCAAGAAGATACAAGTTGTGAGATGGAGACAGACCAAGACATATACAGGAGGATCTGAAACAACCCCTGGGTCACATAAAAGAACAGGGCTGGGCTAGATTCCAACCACCAGGAACTAGCACCAATCAGAGAGCACTTCTATGGATCAAGCAATGTTTGCACTACTAAAGAAACTATCTGCCGGGTGTGGAGGTGCACACTTGTAAACCCAGAGGTTCAGGAGGCTGAGGCAGGAGGATCACAAGTTCAAAGCCAGCTTTAACATTTAGTGTCACCCTAAGCAATTTAGTAAAATCATCTCAAAATTTAAAAAAACAAAAGGTCTGGAAATACGATTCAGTAGTTAAGCCCCGTGGGTTCAATTCCCCACCACCCAAACCAAAAAAAAAAAAAAAAAAATGAAAAAAAGAAATTATCAGAAAAATGTCCTGCCACAAAGCAGGACAGCGGGACGGAGAAGACCATCTCCTTCCCCACAGCTACCACTCGACATAAATCCCATTCTAATCTCCGCTTCAGGGGCTGCCTTATTGATCAGTTTCACTTTTCCAACCAGTTGTGGGATGGCAGCCACCATGAGGCAGAGATCTTGATGCAGTGAACACTAGTGTGGCCATCCTTACCATGACCGTATCTGGCTTATTCTGCAGACCAGTTAGGCACGAAGGAAACTGTAAATCCTCCGCAAGTCTTTTACAATACCACTGCCCCCGAAAGTGAGTGCAAGGCACTTTAGCTGACTACTACAAAGTGGGAAGGCCATCTGGCAGGGCTCTCTGCAGGCATGAACCCACATCCCCCTCAGGTCCCCCACTCCAGGCTTACTCTTCACTCAGTGTTCAAACGCGCTTACCTCTGTGGGGGAATATATGGGGCGCACACAGTTGGCATGACTGCACAGGGCTCAGCCAGCACTTTCTTAGCCTTTTTTGCTTTCTTCCTGACTTTGGACGTGGACCTGACCGTTTTGACTGAGCTCTCTTTACGACAGACGCCATTTTTCATTTCAACATCCCCGTAAATGTTCAGAGGCCTCCGTGTGCAACCAGGAGGCGTGTGGACGTCACAGTAAGCGGTCTTTCTGACTGAGAAGGTGGTGCTACCACCAGTCAGTTCCTTCACAGGCTCCATTTTCATATATAGGCCAGCCTTCTGGGCACATGTCACGTGGAATGCTGTGTAGCAGTTTGCTTTGTGGCACTGGATACAGGCGCCCACGCCCTTCTGCTTACAGAGGTAGCACGTCAATTTCCACCGGGCCGGAGGGATGTTCCTCACACCGTCGATGGGTTCGATGAACACCGTGTTGGCAAAGCCAACCTCTGGGATCCACAGGGCACACACCACATGGCCCCAGCGGTCGTCGTCCGTCTTTTTGAAGGCACCACCCTTGTTGGGGCACAGCACACAGTCCGCGGGACGGGACCGGGACTGCAGGCAATGGCGGCAGAGCCACTGGCCCTCAGGGATATAGGGCACGCCATAGCACTCCTGGTGCACGGCCAGGTTGCACATATCACAGAAGAGGATCACATTGCTGTTCTGACACTCCCCATCCATGCAGATGCAGCATACGGCATCCTCGTCAATCAGGGACTGCTGCTCCCCCTGCTTCTGGTTCTCGCAGTATGACTCTTTCTCAAAGCGGTCCATCAGGAACTCAAACATGTTCTGCGACACAGCAGAGACACAATCACCCTTCCGCTTCTCGTTGATGATCTCCAGCCAGGCGTAGTCCTCCTCATCCATGTCATACTCCACCTCGTTGTCCAGCTCCTCAGCCGACTTCTCGATGAATTTGTAGTACATGGGGGGCCTCCTGGGCGCAGACGGAGGGCTGTACTCCACAATCCGAACCTTGGGCTCAGGAAGGGCACTGGCTGAGGCCGGTGTGCCATGGGTGCTAGGAAGGGCTTCATTTTTCTTTTTGACTCTGTTGTTTTTGTGACGCTTAGTTCTTAAGCAAACAGGTGGCCTCTCACTATTTTCTTTATTGCTGTTGCATTCACTCATTTCTTGAGCAGTGAGGTCATCTTCCAATATGATCTCCAGGGGATCAAAAATACTGATCCGATGCAAGCGCCCTTCAATCTCTATCTCAACCATCCTTTGAGCTTGAGCGTACGTCAACGTTTCTCGGGTGGGAGAGTGTTTAATACTGCACGGGGAGGAAGGATGCCTCGCTGCAGAGCCTCGATGACATCGTCCTTTCCTCCTCATTTGGCAATAATTACCTGAAATAGAATCAAAGGAAAAGTTAATTCCATGTAGAGTGACAAGAGACTGGAGAAAAGCACACAAGTATGCAGGGGCAACACCCCCAAAATGAACTCACAGTTAACACACTTCTGGAGTTTCCAAACTCCTACTCCCAGGAGTCATGACTACACTTCAAGAGTGTCCCAGGACTGGAAATGGCAGCAGGCGGGGAGGCAGTGCAGGACAGCAAGGGCCCTGATCCCCACCACTCAGCCAGTTACCTTTTTAGACCAAGCCAAAGGTAACCCAGAGAACAGCAACAAGCACTCCAGAGCGCCCCAGGATCCAGCCCACAAATGCAGGAGTGTTATTCTGGTGTACAGACAACCCACTGGGGAAACCCATGCACAGAGCTTGAGCCCACCAGGCTCAGAGGCTGTGGCTACAAGGTAGATATGTTCAGTGGCTACCTGGTCCTAACAAAGGCCCCCTATAAACTCCTCTCTCCACTGCTGCCCAGCAGAGTGCCCCTGTGAGCCCATAGTCCTCACAGCACCTCCACTGGGACCCAGAAGCTTCTGTTCATGTCCCAACAATGTAAGCCTGTCCATCCTCTCCACAAATACGTCCTACACACACACACACACACACACACACACACCCAGACCAGGGCCACCAGCCACAGCAGGACCCAAAATAACCCTATGCTGGCCTGTGGGGACATCACTACCTCTGGGTGGCCCAATGCAGTTTCTGCAGGCAGTGCCAGCCTGCCCCTTCCCCTCAGGGTGATTTTTCAGCCATGGCTTGACCACTATACTAGACCTTGTCTTTCTTTTTTTTTTTTTTTCTTCAAATAAACCCAGTTATGTACAACATGCCAAAGGGCATCTGTTCTTCCTGACACATTTGCAAATAAGATGCTCAGCTCCTTCTCCATCGCAAGAGTGGACCCTCCCAAACCCCATGCTGCCAAAAGCCCCACACTGCCTACACACACTATGAGGGTCCCCATTGCTGGCTCAGGTGGCCAAGTTTTGGCCACAGAAGTTTATTAGAATCTGCTCTTTTCAGAGGTAGGCAGAACCAGTGAGTTATCAGCCTATACCTCCACCTTGTTGTGGTGGAGACTTCTCCTGTTTAAATGTCACTGACAGCATCTATTTCCAGTTTTCCCCAGTATGGCTTGATGTCTAGGCACCTCATGTGAAGACATGCCAACTATAGACCCCTGCCTGCCAAACAAGGCAGCACCTTGGGCAACAATGACAAGGACTGCTCAGACTCCTTCCCCCCCACACACACACACAACCACATGTTACTAACAGGGAACTTTTGAGTGACTGACTCACAAGTACTTCAAGATGAAGCCTACATCAGCAAAGCCCAGCATCAGGTACCTCAGAGTGTGAAGTCACAGCGTCAGTGATCTAGCTGATCTTCAGGAAATCCCCTCAAAGAACAGACTTCACTTTCTAAGGCCAAAAAGGAAATTCCAGCAAATCCTAAATGCACTTTTAAAGACAGACCCTTCGGGTTGCAAAAACCTGCATTTTGTATAGAAATCAGATAGCAACTTCCTAGAGAGGACATCAAAGACTGGTCAGTCAAATCCTAAGTCACCTGCATCTGAGGGGGCCTCCAGATGCAAATTCAAACCTGGATTCCCAAGCAGCTGCCAGCAAAGCCACCCCAGCTGGCACTGGACTCCAGCAGCAGCCCATGCCATTGCTTTGGAGGCGAGCTGGATGCTGCACCCAGGGTCAGCCTAATGTGCCATCACTGAGGTGAGGCAGAAGCAACAGCTGGTCACTCACCAGATTAAAGAAAATGTGTAATTCTCTCCTCTACAACAAAGCACCCAGTGACTCTAACCGCAAGCGGCCCTTCAACCCGACCCTCCAGGCTCCCAGCAGCTCTGTGGTCCCAAAGTGCAACCGTGACCAGAGAAGCGGAGAAGAGCGGGCACCGGAGCACCGTCCACAGTGGCCGCGACCTCCTGGGCCTCGTCACTTCCCAGGCCCCCGGCTGAGCCTGGCCTGCACCCGAGCCCTCCGGGCGCTCCGCAGGGCCGCGACCCGCCCCCGACGAGCGCCGCTGCCGAGGCCCCGCGCGGCCCAGCGGGCAGGAGGCCACTGCGCGGGCGTTTCCTGCGAGCCCGGGGCGGCCGCGGGCCTCCGCCACGGGGCGCCCCTCGGGCGAGGCGCCGGCCGGCGTGGGCGCGCCACTCGGCAGGAGGCGGGTCACGCCCAGCGTCCCCGGCCGCGGACACCGGCGCGGGCCGCCCGGGCTCCCCGCGAAGCTGCGGGCCACAAAGGCCGCGCGTCGCGCCGGCTCCCCGCGCAGCGGCGCCGGGCCTCCCCCGCGGGCCGCCTCG